AGATGTCTTGTCACTTGTCAAATGTGACGTGGGCCAGGGGAAGAATAAAATAGGCTCTTGTCAAGCTGGCGAGATGGCCTGCTCCGCTGCTGTCAGCTCTGATTGCAGCTGATTTTGCACATAGAATACAGTTGCCATTTCCAGCACTGAAGCGTGAATTTTTAATTGCGAGAGCACAAACCAACCAAGTCAAAGCAAACACTATACCAAGCATGGATATTAAACATGGTTGATTACTGGGTATGGGAGTAAAGCATCACACGTACAAGCAAAAAAAAAAGGTCTCTGAACCTGTTTGTATAGGATTTCTTGATTGCAGAGAGAGAATATAGTCTTCAGGGAGTGAGAATAACTACCTTGAATGTTATTATTTTGTTTTCTGTTCATTTTTTAAATTCAGATATTGTTTTGTGTGTTAACCAGAATAGTTAATTGGCTTTTATGGATGTTGGACCTACTAAAAAGTTCTGTGGAAAGTCTGCAGAAAGCTTTTGCTGAATAAAAAAAGACTAGAAAAAAAGAAACAGTTCAAAGTTTAAAGCAGTTGGAAAAATAAAACAACAATTCAAACCTGGGTCTTTTAAAATGCTTTCTGAATAGAAACTTTAGGGGGACCTCATTCCCTCCGTTTTTCTGATCTATGGTTTCCATAGAGGGCTTTATGTAAACTTCTGCTGAAGTGTTTGGTTGCTGCAGTTGTGATGTGGGAAGAACTTGTGTTCCCTGCTCCCCCCAGAAAAGGCCTTTGTTCATTGTATGCTGTTCTATACGACCGTGTTATAACAGTTAGCAATTCTGCTGGGAATCTCTTAATCATGTGGTTACAAAAGTGACTGCAGTGAGAGGGAGGTGAATTTAATTAAATAAATGCCGTAGTTCGTTAGCACTAGGTAAATAGCTGTAATGCATTAGGCAGGTTCCTAGGGTATCTAGGATAACACTAGACAAGTCACAGCATAACACTGCTGGAGCCTTGAAAACATTCCTACCAACGTTAATAATCAAAATACCTCCATGATACAGATAAAACTAATGAGCCAGACAAGCGTGTTTGTCCAGGTTTTTAGAGAGGACCAATGTCAAGTTCTCATCTCTTAGTGCTGTGCTCAGAGCCTGCTGCCAACTCTTTTTTCTCTACAAGAAATTTATTAATAGAGTCATGTACGGTTATAACCAACACTGTGATTTTAGACTGTATTGTATTAAAAGCCAGGATTTTTTCACCTATCAAAAATCACCCATGAGAATGACCTTTTACCAACTTTCAAGCGGGGGTGGAATGTAGTGAGATATGCTGTGGTAACATTTTTTCTGTTCACACGTTTTTTAATGGCCAAGGATATAAATGCATGTCTGCCAAGAGTCTTGTTGTGTAATAGTTTGACATAATTTTAAGCATCTCTACAGTAGAAATTGCCAAGCAGCCAGAACTTTAAATGAGCCATGAAAGTCATTCCCCTTATTGTTTCTTTTTCCCATAAGTCTCAGTTAGAACTATGTTAGAAATTAGAATTTCCCAAGAAGCATCCGGTTTGACTACTGATAAACAGTCCCAGTTGTCAACTGAAGACTTTTTTTTCTAGTCTGTTAGGTCATCAGAGAAAAGTTTTCTTTCTCCTGTTCGATTCAGCTGTGTATTCCCATGGGACAGAACTCAGGTTGGGAATGTTTCTGCAGTAGTGTTTGCCTGCAGAAAAAGCCAGAGCAACTGAATATGTCAGAAACAGGATTGTTTTCTTCCCTTTGCAAGAAGGTTGCAGTAATTACGTAATTGCTGATTCAAGGGGTCCTGGCTGTCCTATTCCTGGACAAAATATTATTTTGTATGCAAGTGAATGTGTGATCATATGCAAAGGTGAACTTGTGACAGAGCTGGATGAGATAAAACTGAGTCCAGTTATTGCTGCTGCGAGGAACTGAAGACTCTTTTGGTATTACCTGTGAATTTTAGAGGGTTATTAGCAGTGTCTTTCAGCCTGTTGTCTAGCCAGAATCTCTAGGTGTGATCTGGACCTTAGACTGCCAGTTCCTTCCTCTGGTACGTCCAGCTCAGACCTTGCTCACAGGGAATGGAGGAGAAGCTGCGATGGGTTGTGTGAAGAGGGAAAGCATGCGTGTGATTCTTATCTGTCTGTTCCCAGGCAGCGATGCTTGTAATGTTGGTCATCTTAGAAAGGCATTTCATCTTGGTAATTGCTGTGTGATGGGTTGCTAGGCATGTATTTGATGCTCCTCTGCTTCACACTGTTCATCCTTTAAGATTATGATTGCAGACACATGAATACAGTAGAAATTCAGAAGCTAAGATGGATATGAAACTCAGAGTGCTGTGCGTGGCCGAACAGCTGCAGTGCTGCTCGCTTTCTGAGATGGTTGAGCAAAAGTCATGTAAAATTAATTTATGCTTTAAAACCCTCTGGTGTTTGTAGAGTGCTAGGATGACCAGATATATCCCCCTTTCCATGTGGAGTTTTGAATTTTAACTTAACTTGCACTAAACAGGAGGTTTTATTTTGACTCTCACAAGTGAAATCTTTCAGAAGCGTAGAAGCAAAACATAAAACTTTGGTCCGTGAGGTATTTGTTTCTGCTCTAGTTGCTGTGCTGTTGCAGCCTGCTCTCCGGCCTCTGCAGTTGCAGATCAGTGTCCTGCTTTGCAGGTGCTCTCTCTAACAGTGATTTTATTCCTCCTTGGTTATTAAGGTGTAATTTTAATTTGCACTAGAAAATTAAATGTTTTATGTGTGTTTAAATGTATTAATAAATAGGACCTTTTTGGAAACTTTTTCCTGTAAAGAGACTATTTGGTGGTGGACCATCTGTACTGTTGGAGGTAATATCAAGGTAATATTAGTCTATATATCATATGACCTGGGCTCCTTTTCTCATTTCTGTTGTTGCCCAGATAATATGCTCTGGACAAACCAGTGTCTGGTGACACTGTAAGTTCTTTGGAGATGATAATGTCAGAAAAAAACAAGTATATTTAATACTTAGCACCATGGGACTTGATACCACTTAAGTACATCCAACAAAATATCAACACAAATAAGTTAATGAAACAAAAGAGATCTAAAAGCCTTCAACAGGCTCTGTAAAAATACCATTTTTGACACTGCATAGGTCAGTTCTGAATACAACCCTTTTACTATTTTGAAGATCCTCTCTTTCTGCTTAAAGTTGATTCTTGCCATGTTTTGACCTGTTTTCTAATCCGGAGATGTCAGCATAGCCCCAGGACTACCGTTCCTAGGGTCATCCTGGATGCAGAGAGCCAGAACAGCATCACAGACTATGGGCTGCTTTTGCTTCCAGATGGCTTTTTAAAATAGCTGCCTGGGAGCTGTCTCGCATTTGGTGTACTCTGAAGTAGTTACAGGGAAGTAGTTGACAGCGTCACCTTCCGTTCGTGCTGTTTGCCGTTGGATGTGGTTAATCTTTCAAAGATGATTTGTTGGAATACACATCTAGCAAAGAAGCATGGTAGAAGAGGAGATAGAAGCTATATTGGACTTCTGTCCACCATGGTCTTTTTTAAGAAGACAGTTGGTTGATTGATTTTTCACTGTTCAGGAAGTAAACCAACATTTTTAAGCATAATGTAAAATATCAAATACTGGTTTAAATAGCCTGTTATTTTTATATAGCAAAGGTGCTAAAGTCCAGGAGATTCATAAAGCTTTTGAAAACAAATACTTTTGCTAGCAGTGCCTTCTAAGGATTGCTGATGCGTGTTCTTCCCTTAACAGAATGGACACTTGAAAAAATGAAAACCTGTCTCTGTGCTTACCTAAAGGGGCAGTGGGGGAAGGAAGCTTTACAAATTGTCTGGTCACCTGGGGCTATTCCCTTCTCAACTTGGGCAACAGGCTACTAGTTTTACTACGTCCAGAGAAGCAAGCAGAAGTTTCAAGCATAAGAAACACTTTTCCTGAAAACCAGTCTTTATTGTGCAACCTTTCAAGTTAGAAAATCTGTATTAAGGACATTTGATGGTAGACATCTCTCTTGCTTTGCTATCAGGAATGTATGGTCTTTCCCTCCTCCGTATTCTCCACATGGTTTCCAAACTCTGAGTTACTGTTGCTTTCTTTCTACCCAAGCCTTCCCTCAGAGTTTTTTGGTGCATCTGATGCTGTGGTTATCAAACCTTGTCAGCTACTGTTGACTGGAAGAACAGTTCATATCTGGAGACTAAGCTCTGATTTCCAAACCTGAAAGCAAATAGCAGCACAGTCCAGCTCCCAAAGTGAATGTGAACTTGGTTTTGATGTGTAATAGCTTCAACTGCTGAGTCTCCAGAACTCCATATTCGTGCCTCGGTGAGAATTATTTCTAGAAGAATCCTCTCATCAGGATGTGAATTTCTGTTATTCTTAGCGGGCTCGAAAGCTATGTCCCATGTTGGCCATTTTCATTCAGTCTGGGCTGAGGAGAGAAAAGAACAACAGTGCTCTTGCCTTAGAATTAGTCTTACATCAGCTTTGGCCAGATGAGAAATACTTGCTGTAGTTGTGGCTTACTTTCTTGTTGGGCTGTCTGCAGCAAACCGTTCATGTAATTTATTTACAGAATACTCAAGTCTTCTGTTAGCTCTTGTCATTTATTATGTAGGGCTTGTGTGTGAAAACCATGTCTAATGCACTGATATAACTAGTGGGAAGTTTGGCTGAGATGAGGAATTCTTCATAATGTGATGAAATATTTGGACCTACCCCCACCGCACTTTTTTTTTGATATTGTAGATAAAGATGGCTATGTTCCATATTAGAACTGTCATTGTGAAACTAGCACAAGTAGCTAGTTGAGAAGAACTGATTAGGAGTAACTGCCCGCTCAGACAAGTCTATATTTCAGTGGAAGTTTTATGTCCTTATTTTAAGGAAATCTCCTCTTATTATAGTGACAGTGGCAGTTCACAGCCTGCTATGCTGTAGGGAACTGTTCACATCAATAGCAAAGGAAATGATACCGTGAATGGTTTTCTCCCCAGGTGCTGAAGAAGTCTTGCTGCTTGCTAGAAGGACAGACTTGAGGAGGATTTCCTTGGACATGCCAGATTTCACTGACATTATTCTGCAGATAGACAACATCAGACATGCAATTGCCATAGACTACGATCCTGTGGAAGGCTACATCTACTGGACTGATGATGATGTCCGGGCAATTCGTCGGGCCTACCTTGATGGCTCTGGAGCACAGACTCTGGTGACCACAGAAATCAACCACCCAGATGGTATTGCTGTGGATTGGGTGGCGAGGAACCTGTACTGGACTGATACTGGAACAGACCGCATTGAAGTGACCCGGTTGAATGGGACATCCAGAAAGATCCTTATCTCCGAAAACCTAGATGAACCTCGAGCAATAGTGCTCAATCCTATAATGGGGTAAGTTTTGTGTTTATTAATATCCCTTTGAATAGGTCTTTGGAACCAGTTTATGGTCTCCTGAAACTGAAAATCTGCAAATTGTGAGACGATGTGTGCATTACTTGCCAGATGTTCTGGAAATAACTGGCTTTCCCTTCCTTCATCCCTTTCATACTGTGTATGTAAAAGATGACTTCTAAATATAGGTTCTTCAGTGAACCTGTACATTGTGTGTTTGGTTGAATTTTCTTTTCTCTGCATCTTCCATGTTATCATAACTGTGAAAGAATTGGGGCACTGCACATTTTCAGTAGTTTAGTTTATTAAATGTTCAAACTCTACATTGTCATCGCTGATTACAGCTCAAGTTGGCCTGTTTGCTGCAGTTGAGGAAGCAGAAAGTTAGTAAGTTTTTTCAAAAACAGGACAGATCTTGACACGTTTTTTGTCTTGCATGTTACATGCATTGACTGTTTCCTCTCTTTCTTTTTTACAGCTACATGTATTGGACGGACTGGGGTGAAAGTCCAAAGATAGAATGTGCTTACTTGGATGGCTCAGAAAGGAGAGTTCTGGTGAATACATCCCTAGGTTGGCCTAATGGCTTGGCACTGGATCTTGAAAAAGACAAACTTTACTGGGGAGATGCAAAAACAGATAAAATTGAGGTGAGTAATAAAGATGTACTTGGATGCATTCTTAGAAAACAAGTGCTGTTGGTGTGTGCCGCTTTGTGTCTTGGATACGCTTACCCATTTTTTGAGGAGTCTGTTGTTTCATTATTATAAAAATCATATTTAGCGTAACGAGGCATATTTGAGAAGAAAGGAAACACATTCATGTGGTTCAGAAAGCTTTTGCAAGAAATGTTCTGTTTATTAAGTCTACATTGCTACAAGTGTAATTTAATTGCTTGAAATCTTAGGTTTTACCTGAGGCTTTTGCAACAAATTTGGACTCTCAGGTACAACCTCTTTAAAAGATGTTTTGACTTGTCTGTGGTGCTTGAAACTAGTATATAAAGTTCCTGTGTGTGAAAGACTTGATGCAAGTTTCGTGTACAGAAGAAGGTGAATGTGGGGGCCCTAGAGAGCCACATTTCAGGACCTTAATGATTATGTGGTATCCAGATGTGTGCACAAAAAGTACTTTTTAATGTACTGCCTGCTTTGAAAACAATGTAGGCATTCTACCTCTGAATTTGAGGAGAGCAAATCCACTTCATAATGTTGTATTAATATTTATGCAAAGCATTTGACACTGTCCCACA